CCCCCCCCGGGAATCCAAATCACCAACCAAGAAGGATCTTGATTCAACCACCATTGTCACAGAATCATCAACCAATGCCGTGGGTGGAGATGGGATTACTGGGACATGCAATCTCCTTCAACATTATGCTGGAGGGGAGAGAAACTATCATAGTCCTTCAAAACATACATTACCTAGCGCAATTAATCTCCGAAGGTGTTCGTCTAGCAATGAACAATTACATCAACCAAGTATGGTTGAACAATATCCTAACTCCAATTGCTCCAAACCTCACAGCCAATCAGATTCACTCCATGAGGGGGGATTAGAACATGCCACAAAACTTCATTCCTATTCAGAACCCAACTCCAGCAATGGAACTCCCTTTCTTCACCCCCGGAGTTTGTAACAAACATCAATCCAGTCTTCACCCTTTGGAATGCACATGCAGACCATCCTCCAGCATCAAATGCACACACTGCACACAACATGCAAGCTCCTCACCCTCCACAAAACCAAAACCAGATGGATCAAGATATGGAGGAAGAAGTAGATCTTGTAAACTTAATTCCACAAAACGTGGTCGAGGATTCAAACCTCGACGAGCTAAAAATATTTCTATTCATGGAGACACAAGAGCAGAAGCAGATTCTCTTCTGTCCAATGGCACTTTACAAGTGCACAATGGACATAAGGCCTCCGGCGGATCCATCAGTGGGGAAACATGCAATGATCCTGATTCCTTTTCAGAGGAGGAACCCAATCTATGCACGTAGGATGAGGGAGAATGGAGATCTTCACAACCCAACGTTCAACATGAATAGATCAACAACCTTCATCATTTGGAATATAAGAGGGGGTAACAATGATAACTTTAGGCTAAGTTTCAGAGACCTAATTGAAACTCACCACCCTAGCATGGTAACCTCCTAGAGACCAAGATGGATAGCCATCTGCCTCTTCTCAGCAAAATTTGGATCTTTACTTCTATTTATGCTAGCACAGACAAGAAACTTAGGAACGTAATGTGGAATAATATATTAGACATGCACAGTGTAGTCAGAGGTCCTTGGCTATTAGGAGGAGATTTTAATGATGTCCTAGCCTCTAAAGAAAAATTAGGAGGAAGAAGCATCAATAATAAAAGAACTAAACTTCTTTGGAACTGTATAAACACTTGAAACCTAATAGACCTAGGTTTTAAGGGCCCCAAATTTACTTGGTCTAACAAAAGGAAAAAAATAGGGGCCTCATAATGGAAGGCTGGACAGAGTTTTTGCCAATGAAGATTGGATAAATTTGTTGCCAGAGCCTCGGTCACTCACCTACCTAGGACTCACTCAGACCATAATCCTCTCTTAATAGAGTTTAATCCTAAAAAAGTGTTACACAAAAAAAAACCTTTTAGGCTAGAAACATTTTGGTGTCGCCACCCAGACTTTATAAATTTAGTTAAAGACAGCTGGCTTAATTCAAATTACATCCAAGTTCACAAAATTTCCTGGACAATATTAAAAGCTGGAGTAAAAAATACTTTGGAGACACCCACAGGAAAAAATTAAGAATAATGGCTAAACTAAAGGGTATTCAATCTTCCAGTAACTACCACTCTAGTTCCTTTCTCCAAAACCTTGAATCGAAGCTTCAACAGGATTACAATGATATCCTCAAATTAGAAGATGAGTACTGGAAAAATAGGGCCAGGATGTCCTGGATTCAAGATGGGAATGCGAACACAAAATTCTTTCATATAGCTGCCACGAACAGAGCTAGGAAGAACAATTAACCCATTTTAAAGACAATCTTGGAAATTGGATCAATGATCCAAC